ACAAAAAAAAAAAAAAAAAAAAAGGCCTGCTTGGTGTCGGAGTGACAGTAACTGCGAACCATTTATAGCTGAAAGCTGGAAAAAGTTTTGCAACAGCAATACTCGAAGACCTTTGAAATAGTTCACTCTAGCCTTACTTTTGAAGCAATATACCTCGTCGAAAAGAGATTAATTCCATACAGTCATGTGAATAAATGTTAAAATAGCAACACCTGACTTTAAACAAAGGTTTGAATTGTTAAATATCAAGACTAACCATGCAGCAAAGGGAGAATCTAACCTGAAGAACAGTTGGCGTCGGTTATCACAGAAGAGAGCAAGAAAAAAACACAATAAAATGAAACTATAGGCATGATCGATTGCAAACGCGAGAAGGGTCGAAATGATGCTGTGCAGCATGAAAAAATATATACATTTTTAAAATTCATGATCAGTTTTCGCCAATTTGCTAAACTTAAGATCCTGACTTTCGCTTGTCATGGTAAGAAAGAAAAAATAGCAAATAGCAAATAGCATAAATTCAACATCTTTTCATACAGGTGTTGCCACTGACGTCCTGTTTGCGCTCATTTAATGGGTAAGACAAGAACTTCGGAAGGACAACATTTATTTTACAAATATTGCCAATTAAAAAAAAAAAAAAAAAAAAAATTAATTTCCGAGAAAAGAAGAATAGCCAAGTTATGAGAGAGAGAAAATTTGCATTAAAATACCCAAAAAGGGGATGTGCTCATTCTAAGGCCACCGCACTTCCTACCGGCAATGAGGCGCCAAAAACACAAAAACAAGCGCGCGCGCACGAAACTAAAACTTTAAATGTGATTGGTTGATTTAAACGATAACTTTGAATGTGATTGGTTTATTGCACCGTCCAATAACAAACTGTCCGATAACAACTTGGCAAGTGAATTAGTGGAAAATAAGAGTTTTTTTAGACCAATCGCAATCAAGGAAATTGTAATTTTTATGATCAATAAAGTTATCAACTCAACTGAACTCAACCCATCAGTTTTTTTTTAAGTTTTTAGAAAGACGATTTACTCTGAGTGGCTAAAACTTCCAGTAGCTTTTCATTCATCCTGTGCAGATATTTTAATATGTCAATTATGTGTCTATCATTTTTGACTTTGCCATTGCAACCGCAAAGTTGATGTAAGTTTGGCGAAAAATCAACGTTTGTGGCATAATTCTGCAATTTTTAAGTTTGCTACATCAACTTGCAGAAATTGACGAACTTTATATTTCATAAGCATTGTGACTTGAATTTTATTAATTTCCGTTCTTTCTTGACTTTTTAAAAAAACAGCAATTTTCAAGATGGCGGATCCTAGATGGCGGGGCAAATGACGTCATTTGACGTCATAACCGAGGAAAATGGTATCACCTTGCAGAGTATGTTCAGGGCTGTCCTATCAATATAAATGTATTTCGCTGTGCACTAACAGAACAAAAACCGAGGGGAGGGACTTCATCAACCCCCGTTGTACCACGGTGGGGGTATTATTTAGCTTGTACGTCCAAGGGTTAAATTAAGTTATTCTTCTGCCTGCCTTTCATCTTTATGTTCCCTTTATGGGATGGGAAAAAATTTTGGCTTTCAAGGTTATTGCCAACCTTACAGTATTTTATTAATCTCTTATTTTACTTACAGGTGTAGCAGTCTCGCCAAGTTGGCAAACACTCCGTCAGGGAGAATTGTAATATCATTGTTTCTCAAATACCTGTTAAAAGTATCAGAGAATACTCAATTAAAACAGTAACCTGTACGTTCGAGATTTAATTACCAGAACAACTCTCACTTTTGGGATAAACGATGGTTGTATGTTTCTGGAAAACGAATTAAATGGAACCTCTGTAGTTTTGCATATTGGTTAGTGCGCTGGACTGTATTCTTTATCGAGCGGTTCGGTGGCACGTTATCTCTTGATAAAACCAGTTTACCCTGAAAGTAAACGTGGCTGCAAAGACGCAGCTACACTAGACAAAATTTGCTTCAACTCGTCCCCAATGTTTTGGTACAATAATATTTTCCTTTGAAACTGTGTCTGAAATGGCTATTTGGTGGCTTTCAGCTCCTGAAACTGACGTTCACCTCCTGCATGACTCTCATTGGTGTGTTGAACTTGTTGTTGGTGCGCTCGTCTCTGGATCAAGCGGTCCGGCTTCAACTCCTAGCCAGGGACATTGTGTTTTGTTCTTGGGAAAGACATTTCGCGGCTCTCACAGTGCCTCTCTCCACCCAGGTGTATAACTGGGTACCGGCAAATTGAATGGTGGGAGCTAACTCCACGATGGACTGGAATCGCTACCAGGGGGAGTAGAAATACTCCCACTGCTACCTAAGATAAGCGCCGGCCTAATGGGCAACTTGGCTCGTATACGGACGTTACCTGTACTTACTAGCCGATTCATTATTTACGGCTTAAAACGTAAATAAAGGTTCTCATCATTCTGTTGTCAGCCAAATAAAGTCGTTTTCTTTCAGGTGCATTTGTCTCTTTTTGTTGACGTCTTGAAAAATACGTGGTTAGTAAGTAGTCGGTGGTCCTATCATGTGCCGAGAGGCGCTTGGTTCACCAGCTTTCCAAAGTCAGTCATTTATTGCATCGAACGTTTTGAGGCATTCAGCAGAGTCTCAGTAACGTGTATTGGTTGTGGTTGAGAAATATTCATTAATGATATTTATCACTACCGATGTGAATAGAAACAGCTGAAGAGAAATGCTGATGTTGACTAGCTCGTCACTAAGAGAATTAAGTTAAAAAAACAAAGAATAGGCTTAGATTCTACCTCATGCTCAATGAGCTGTACAATTAACTCTTTTTTAAAGGAGCTACGTCAGGGTTTACCCATGTTAAAAAGTTTAGCCTACATTTTTCAAGTTCTTTTGTAATCCGTCTTAATCTTCTCCATCCTTAACGTACCTGTGCCATTCTTGTTGCTTGATGGTTTATTAATATCTCTTTGATGTTTTTCTATTCTAGTAATCTACTATTTCAAGAGTTCCAATTATGTGGCCATAATAAGTCAAAGTAGCGTGACTGAGCTCCGTTAACTATTACTTTTAGGAAGCTCGTATACCAACGGAGATGTCCGGAGATATTGGCACCAATGACTTATTCATGACATAAACAAAACCAACCAGCGAACCTTTAACTGCAGGATCTAATTTGACTGGCAATAGACAGATTGAAAGTTGCCAGAACTCTACATTTAGCCAAGTTAAGAGGAAACTTACTTAAGGTTATTTTTCAGAATTGCATTGCGCATCCCTACTGCGCAGGATTTTCGCGTCATTGACGCGCGCTCACTAACGCGTGCACATACACAACATAGAGAAAATGGTGGCTCTTGTCTTGCTAGAGACAAATCATGGTTGTTTTCTCGAAAACGAGTACCGAGACCTATCGATATTTTTATTTAGTTTGAGTGCAGAGATCTCCTTCTTTCTATACAGTGAATATGGAACAATTTCTATTGAAGAACAAAAAAATTATCATGGAAAATGAGAGCATAGCTAGCACTCCTAATGGATAATACGTGGCCCTAGAACACTGCGTGCTTATTCCTTGCCGCCTTCTGGCTATATGATTTTTTTTGTGCTTCGATTTGCTTGTTAAATTTGATAAAATTAATTAAATTGATGAGTTTGAAAAACGATAAATTTGCTTAAAATTTATTCTTTGGCTTTTTCATCGCACGATACCTTAAAAGACTCCACTCAGAAAAGACAAATGAGTTTTTAAAGCTTCCGAAAGGAATTTACGGCTTAAAAATATTAAAGTTACTCGCAGAAAAGCAGAAAACATATTAGTCGTTGTCCTGGTATCCATGGCAAAACTTCCTTGATCGCACTAGAATTATGTAAATAAATCGAAAGAAGTGTCACTTTACTTTTCGCTTATTATTCTCAAGGAACACCAGACAACGCCGAATTTGATTTTACAGCCAACTCGGGGCTGCCAGCTCCGTTGACTATCTATCATCAAACATGAAACGCGCGCGCGTGAAATAAATATTAAATAGCTCTTTTTTGCTTTTTGCACATTGACGGTGATGTCAGAATTTAAGAGTTGAAAACACTCTATCCGGTAAAAATGACAAGCGTTGTGAGACAACGATCCGTAGCAAAATGGGAACAATAATAAAATAGGCCGCAAAAAGCGAGAACAGCTAGAATTCTCAAAGCGCCTCTTTGGTATCAGTAATTTATCCCATCCGTCTTCTGGCTAAATAATTTTTTTTGGCGCTTTGCCTTGCTCGGTTAATTTGATCAAATTAATTAAATCTATAAGTTTGAATAACGATAAATTGGCTTAAAATTAATTTTTCGACTTTTTTATCGCTCGATACCTTGAAAAACTCAACTCAGAAACAATGAATGATTGTATTTAGTTTTTGAGAGGAATTTACGGCTGAAGAGCTTTTGCTTGGGAGACCGGGGCAGACTTGGAATTGAGGGTCGGTCGAGTTCGCTTAAAATTGGTACACAAAGTCGTTATTTGGACTTATGGATTATGCTTAAGTTTCAGGTTCAACGACCTTCTTTTTAGCCGAGTTCTGGATATTAGCCCCTCAGAGGTCCACGGAGGCTGATTTTCAATGTAATTTTGGCCCCTTTTTAATCTCTCTTTTAGTAACGTACAATTAATTTCAGACAAAACCAAAACCATATTTGTAATGCTGTATCCTTATGCGTTTATGGATGAAAACATTAGCTTAAGGAAAGTTTTTGTTAGCCTGTGGCTGTTATCACAACTTGGTCCTATTTGAAGCATATGGAAAGCAACCAGAAATTGCCTGTTTTTTAGACCGCATATTTTCCATGCCCATGTTTTATATCGTGAAGTCTTAGTATCCCTGCAAAGTTCAGCCCTTAATTTATTAATATCAAGAAAAAGATACTAAGATTGAGGCTTTTTCACTAGGAAACACTTTAAGAGAAATTACCTACTACCCACTTCCTGTCAAAGTCTTAATCCTTTATTAGGAGAGATTTTTAGACACCAGCCGCACAGTTAACAATCATTGATCCTAAAGTAAATTTTTTAAAGGAAATATATATATCCAAACCATAAACTAGAAATTAATTTTCCTACTAACGCATTTGAGACTAAATTTTATGCAGCACTTGAACCCTGTACCCAGGGGACTGGGAGGCGAGGGGGCAACTTTATACGTTGATAACAGGAAAAGTAATCAAAATACAATGAAACAAGCTGTTTACTGAGTGTATAAGTTAGGTGGGAAAAGCTGAGCAAACAAAACCTTATTTATCGGACTCCTGCGTTGTTTCCACGGCAACCTTGCTTTGTCAGGCATAATTACCCTAAGTTTGAGTTTTCTCATCTAATTCTCTGTTTTTTTTCCTTGACGTTTTCAAGTTTCTTAGGACAAACATAGTTTTTTGCACCTTTTCATTCCGCTAGTGCCCTTTCTCTTCTCTTTTAATTTTGTTATAATTGGCAAAAACGATATTTTGACTTCATGGAATCGTCATGAAGTTCAGACCAGTGCATTCAATATGACGGATGTTTATGACATTCTGACATCAAGTGCCTTCATAGCTGACTATACATCATTATTAGAATTTTAAGCCGTGAATTTTTTTTTGTCCCTCCCCCCGGCCAGAAGATCACAGACACTTTGTGTGACGAGTCGTACTGAAATTTCCGATTTAATTGCGACACACCCAGAGGTGCTTTCCTTCAAGCTTCGGTCTTTGCTCCTTTTTCCTATCCATTCTAAATGCGAATGCTATCGTTACGATAGAGACTGTAAGTAAGTAAGCCTCGTAATACAATAGAGGGCCAAATTACTTCCTATTTTCGCCCGGAGATTACAATGTTTGAGCATGACATGTGAAGCGTCTCCACTGTGATTTAATATTGGGCATGTGAAACTACTTAATTCATCTTTAAACCCTTTCGACTTTTCAAGTGAAACAACATCCAATATTGCGTCAAAAATGTTAGCAAATGAATTGTGGGCGGGTAGACAATTTAAGTTAGAGATATTTTGTTCAAATGTGTATGCAGATGATGATGGAACAACGATCCTT